TTTCCCTTGTGCACTGTTTGTTCCAGCATTCAGAAAATTGCTGGTCCCTTTATCAAACACCACAGTTTCTAATTTCCCAAGTCTTCACTTTTGAGCAATTAGATGCCCCCGTTTGTTGAACAGGAAAGAATCATCAAGCCTCGTGTCACAAGCTCTGCTGTGCTGGGGTCCCTGGAGGGTTGGTGCTTGTTTTTTTAGCTATTGGAATGGAATTCGAAAATCTATTTTTCCTGACCTGAAGCAACACTGGGCACCCCTTCCACACTCCCCCAACCCTGCCCAGTTCAGTCTTGAGTTAACATGGGTTTAAGTCCAACACAGTGGGGGCAATAGAGGCTTTACAGTGAACTGATAGGGGACTCTGGACTCAGATGAGGCAAGCATCACCTCCACAGCCCCAGCCCTGGCTGCAGCCAGCCTGTGACTCAGGTGGTCTCCGGGTGCTTGGGGTGAGACCCCTCCCCCAGGCGAGTGTAGCGGCTGAGCCCTTGGCTTTGGAGTTCCAAGGACGGGAGCTTACGTTCTACTCTGCCCCTTGTGATTCACTCGGGACACCTGTCCTTCATCAGTAATAGAGGGAGCGCTGGAGTCCATGAGCAGAAGTTGTGAGGATTAAAGGAGGAAATGCAGTGCTAAGAATAGCACCAGGAAGGGGCAGTAGCTACCCCTCGTGTGGGGGCTTCCTGGGCCTCCCATCAGGCTTGGCTTCCCTAGACATGGACCACACTTTGTGCTTCTCCGTCTTCCCTGGGTCGTGTCAGGATGCTCACTCCCTTCGTGTCCAGCTTAGCGCACTGACAAGGAGACAAAGTTAATCAAAACCAAAGGTGCGAATAACAAGAAGCTGGACGCCCGACGTCTCCCCGAGGAATGTTATGCTGCAAAGCATGCTTTTAATGAAGGATTGAGTTCTCTCAGAGGACATTCAAGCAGCGAGGGAACGACAGAGTGGGTACTCACATGTCTTCTCTGTAGATCCTGGCTCTTCACTGAGGGCAGCTTGCCGAGCTGGGATCTCTTTGGGAACATGTCCGTGTAGGGCTCTGATAATCAGATGAGAGGGCTTGACAACGAGGAGGTGCTCCTAAGGGTTCTTTGTTAACCCAGAACCGATGGCATAAATGACAGACGTGCTGCAGTATTAGGGGCAGAGTACAGATGTGTGCAATTTACTTTGAAATGTATCAAAAAGTAAGATGGATTGATAAATGGATAAAGGGCTCAATAGCTTGATATATCTTGATACAACAAGTGCGTTTAATAAAATGTTAATGGTAGAATCCAGAAGGCGAGTCCACATGTGTTCAGTATAAAATTCTGTCAACTTTGCCATGTTTGGAAATTTTCATAGTAAAAAGAAAAATGGAACAATTCCACAAAAACAGAGTATGACAGCCTTTCCCTAAAAGAATGACAAAAGAGGTAATTCAGGAAGAAAGTGAGAAGAATGAAAAATGATAACTGAAGTACAGGAAGAACAGTCTGGAATTTGGAAAGAGAATGAGTGCAGTTAATGTGTTTTAGGTCCTGATTATTATTTAGAGAGAGTTAAGATATTAACTTTAAACTTGATCAATACTTTCTGTTTGACAGGAAGTATTGATAGGATTGCTGTAGGGATTAAGTAACCGAAAAAAAGTACAACACAGTTTGTCACATGGCATTTTTTTGCCATATATACAGGAGTTGGCAAAAGTAGGTTTAGAGCTGTAATACAATTAAATAATACAATCATTAATAAATAATAATATAAGAATAAACTGTGTTTCACGTACCCACAACTGTAAACCTACTTTTGTCCACCCCTGGATAGTAAAGTAGGAATGGAAGGGGACATCCCTAATGATTGATAGATGGTGTTTAGCAGAATGAGAGCCAATGTCAGTCACAATGGTGAAATGCTAAAGGAATTAATTTTAAATTCAGGAACATGGAGATACCACAATAACCATTTCTATGATAATGAAAATCCTAGCTATCGCAGTGAGAAAATAAAAGTACAAGTAATGAGGCTAGGAAAGGGCATGTACCTTGGTTGCGGGCACATCTCCGGTGGGGGGTGTGCAGGAGGCAGCTGATTGATGTTCCTCTCTCATCGCTGTTTCTAACTCTCTATCCTTCTCCCTTCCTCTCTGTAAAAAATCAGTAAAATATATATATTTTAAAAAAAGCAAGTTGAAGAGGGTTAATATCCATTATGGTGCTATTATTTTTATAAAGCTCAGAAACAAGGAAAACTGAACAGCGTATTTGCTTGAAGATACAGATGTGAACCATTTTGAAAAGCAGCAACGAGAAACCAAGTTTCAGGATCTTGCTTTCCCAGGCCAGCCAATCAGGAGGAGACATCTGGGCCACTTGAAAGGTATTGGTCTCCTTCTTACGTTGAGCGATGATTCTCAGATGTTCCTTGTATAATTATGTTTCACAACCGATGAAGACACTAAGAATATTTTCTATTAATGAAGTATTACATTCAATATTTTTGGCATAAGCCAAAGCATCCAGTGACTTGCTGGTCATATTGCAAGTGTTGGACTTTATTTTTCCACTTAATTCTTATTTCCTATGGGACTGCTCAGCATCATGAGCCAGGCCAGAGTGACATTGTGAACTGTTTTGCCTGAAAAATAGCCTCTCCTTCCTTTCAGTATATGCCCTTTTCTCTGCCCAGCTTCCTACAAACCAAAGACCCAAAGCTCCAGCTGACTATTTGAGGAGGATTTTCCCAGCAGACCTCTTATTAAGAGACATGTCATCCCCGGCCAGTGTGGCTCAGTGGTTGAGTGTCTACCTATGAACCAGAAGGTCATGGTTCAATTCCCAGTCAGGGCACATGCTCAGGTTGTAGGCTCGATCCCCAGTAGGGGCATGCAGGAGGTAGCCAGCTAATCATTGATTTTCTCTCATCCTTAATATCTCTATCTCTCAGTCCCTCTCCCTTCCTCTCTGAAATCAATAAAAATATATTTTGAAAAATAATAAAAGAGAGAAAAAGAGAGAGAGAGAGAGAGAGAGAGAGGTGTGAACCCATGGCATCACCCCTCCCCACCAGCAGATTGCCTGACTGTCTCAAGGCTCAGGGCTTGGAGCCGCCCTGAAGCCCTTTTATAGGGGAGTGGGCCTCTCAAGGCTTGACTAGTTCATGGGACCAATGATTTATAAATGTGATTTAATTAAAAGCATCTTCTTCCAAAGAGCCATGAAAAAACTTGACTCGGGGAAGTTGAGTTCAAAGCCCTGACTAGGCAGGTGTGTGTGGGGGGCCTGCTGTCCCCTCACCTCTGCCTCTGGGCAGGTCTGTGGACTTGCTGACTTTCTCTCTGTCTTCACTTTTCTTTCCTTAAATGTGTTGTGATCATATTAGCAGACTCCATGGAGCCATGGAGATTCATATTTAATAAAACCTGCTGGAAATGTAAACAGAAATGTGCACAGAGGCACATGGAAGATTTCGCCGTCAGCCCCAGCCCAACCCCCACCTGGGGATTAGGTCAGTTTGGCACCTGCCTCCTGGGGAGCTGGGGCCATGATTCATCAGTTACTTGCTGAACTAGCATGGGCGTCTTTCCGACCTGCTGGCAGGGGCAGCGTGAAAACTGGTGTGCACCTCACAGAGCGAGTGGGACCCGAGCTCCTTCCAAGGCTGTGTTGTGCATGCAGGCCAGCTTTCAACTGAGTCCCTCTGCAATGGCAAACGCCAAGACCATGACTGAGTCTATGGGAACGAGGAGTTAGGAGCATGATTTAATTAAAAGCACTATTTCTGTCCAAAGAGTCAAGAAAAGACTTGAGTGGGGACAGTTGAGTTCAGTGCACGGAGAGGACAGTGTGGGTGTCCATGATACAGATGGAACCAGGGGGCTGGCAAGGCGTCATGGCCAAGTCCAGGCCAGAGGTATTGACAGAGAAGAGCAGCCTAGGTTTAGTGCCTCCCAGGGCTGGTGCTGGATCATGCTCTCTGCTTCTCACGCTGTAGTCTGGATCCATCTTGGTCCCACTAGTGGCCTTTGCATGTTGGGTGACATGGTTGGGAGCATAGGCCGGGGTGGCCGGGCACGTCTCCCTGGGTTCCAGCAGAAGCTGACTTTAGAAGAATTCCTTCATCTTTCTGGGCTTCTTCTTTTTAAAAAATATATATATTTTTATTGATTTCAGGGAGGAAGGGAGAAAGATAGAAACTTCAGTGATGAGAGAAAATCATTGATCAGCTGCCTCCTGCACTTCCTCTACTGGGGATTGAGCCTGTAACCTGAGCATGTGCTCTGACCGGAAATTGAACTGTGACCTCCTGGTTCATAGGTCAACACTCAACCTCTAAACCACACCGGCTGGGCTACCATACTTTCTTTAAATATCTTTTTCTGCTCCCATTCTTATTCTTCTCTTTTTCTGAGACTTTATTACATGCATGTTAGTTCACTAGATATCCCATAGGTCACTGAGGCTCTATTTGTTTTGATTTTATTTCTC